CAACGCAAGTAGTAACATTCGTTAATATATGAACAACAACAGAGATATATGAGAGATATATATATAATTGCAGTTGGTTTAAGATTTGCATTGTGCTTTTTTAACGTCAGTGACAAAAATAATCATATTAGGAGAAATTAGGTTATTTCTGTGGCATCTACTACTAATGAGGATGTAAATTGGTATATTATAATTTTTATGACGTAAAAAACTAAGTATGTTAGAATAATTAACGAAAAATGTATCTTTTATAATTTACAAGATAGCCTAGGCGGCCTAAATAATAGGCTAGGCCCAGGCCTAGACTAGGCCTAGTCTATTATTTAAGCTCTGCTCTGAGCTGCAAAATGTTAAAAGTTGTGTAACAAAAATTTTTCTTTTTTTACGGCCGAACCTATAAAAAATATATACCTCAGTAGTAGCAACATTAAAAATAATGGTAGGCCTAAACACTACTTTGCAAAATTTGCATGCTCAGAAGAAAACAAAAACTAAAACCATTTTGAAATAGCTATGAAATTCAAATAGAATAATATATCATCCCATCGGATTAACATATCAGTTTATATTTAACTTCTACTTTTTTATGTTCAACCAACATTTATATATCCTAGTGCTCAAGTGCTGACTTTCGATCGATAGTTCTGTTAAGTGAGTCTATCGTTAAAAATTATACTACTTTGAGTAGGCCTAGTAGTTGTTAAGACTTACCTTTATCTTTTTTGAAAAGAATGAATCTAATCCTAATTGACGTTTCATTACAACCACAAGGTCCACAAAGCTATAGAAATAGAGTTGACTGTTGAGGTTAGGTCAGAGTAACAATTGCACTTGGCAGCTCCAGCTCACTCGACTTAAGTGACACAACTACTAACTACTAACGGTCGAACGAAAAATATCGATTGCTTCCGCGCAGTTGACTTGCGCTGTTGCTCATATTTCCACGACTGTAGAAAGCCGGCCGAAACACGATTTAGGCTTTAACCTTGGACTTGTCAAGTCAGCTGGGGCAGGCAGCTCGCGGCTGACTCACGACTCACCCTAGAGCAGTGGTGGTGATTTATTGTAACAAGAATTTACGTTGATAATGTATCTGTTTGGATATTATTAGCTACTTGCAGTAAGGTAGCTAAAATATTGTAAGTGTTATTTTATCGGTAAAAAAAAACCTTATGAGGGCTTGGGGGTGGGGGCACGTGCCACCTGTGCCCCGCCCTAGATCCGCCCATGGGTAACACTACGTTTGTTCAGTGTAGTTTCTGATAATTTCTAATACAATGTGTGAGTCCATCGAAAACCTTAAAAAGGAATTCGAGGATGGTTTGAATAAACTTTACGTGGAGTCAAGTTTTGGCTCTACGCTACTTTTAGAAGGCGACTATAAAAAAATAATTATTTATGAGGTCAAAAAAGCACAAGGATTGCGAAAGACACACTAACGAAGAAGAAATCAAATTTTTTAATCATCGTAAGTAATTATTTGATATTGTGCATATAGACCACATAAATATAGGACATAAAAGAGAAAAAGGTAGGTACATATTTCCATTTTTTTTTAACTATGTGTTAGGCACAGTCTTTAGGTGCCTCTTTCTCTCTCTCGTACTCTCTCTCTCTTTTTCTCTCTCTCTCTCTTACTCTTACTCTTAATTAGAAGCATCTAACATATTATATTTAATTATTCTTCTCTACCCTGTACAATATTACATGAGCTATTACAACCAATAATCGAAGTAAAATACTTGATATATATCGAAATGAATGGGGCATCTGTCCCTTTATTTGCAATGCCATTACTTGGCTAAATAAAGAAGTATAGGGGTGCAATGTAACCTGCTCTTATCGACTGTCAATCAGACGTCAATCAAATGAATTTCGTAGGTACGGTTTATTTGATTTAACCAGAAATGATTATCGGCGAATGCTAAAAAGTGAAAGCGATCACACCTAGTAGATAAAGGTCTTAAAGAATATTGGGGTTGGATAATTTACTAGATTAGATTTTTAAAGTTTAGAAATGAAAAGCTTTGAGATAGCAATATTACTGATTCTATAAAATTGTCATTCAAGAGTTGTCACAATAGTATAAAGTTTTATTACACAGAGTATTTACAAAGTTATATCCAATTTATAAAGTTATATCCTATGAAGGTCAACTCTCTGATTAATTATAAAGAAGCACAATCGATCTCAGTGCATATTCGGATTATCTTATCTGATTTTTCTTTCTTGTTACCTCGTCTCTACAAGACCCAAAGATCGTCAGGAGAATCTTCTCTTATAAGACTAATAATTTTGTTGTTTTAAGTCGGTTCAGTGTCCACGTCTCACTTCCATGCGTTATTATGGGGAGTATAATAAAAAAAAATAAATCTGAAGAAATCTAAGAAAACTCAGATTTCTTACTGGAGAAAAGATCTTCATCAACGATGACCTGGCCGAAAAGGAAATACGCATGAGGCAGGAAATTGTAAATAAATGCAAGGAATTAAGAGCTGACGGTAAAATCGTGAAGATAGGGTACAAAAAACTAACTGTGGATGAAATAAAATTGTAATGGGCCGGAAATTGTACTTAAAAAAACGAGAAAATTCTAGAAATATGCACCCAAAAAACGGCATATATTAGTGGAAAAAGAAAAAGACGGCCCATTTTGTCGACAGACCCTAGCAATTAACAGGAAAATGAGTTTAAACATAAATAGCAAAACAAGAATACGTACCCAACATTGAAAAGATTAACCCATACACATTTTATACAAGTAAATGGAATAAACTATAATAGGAATTTTGGACTGGGATTGCTGGTACATGAAGGCGTGGAGCAGGTAAAACGATTCGTAGCAAAATCTGACAAAATGTGTGCTACTTGAATTATATAATACTTGAATACCAGCCCAAGCGAAGTTGCGAAAATCATCAGGAAGCTGAAAGGAAGCAGAGCACCAGGACAAAAAGGAATCCATAACATTACCCTCAAGAAACTTCCGAAGAAGATCATAGTACAGCTGTACTATATTTTTAAATACTGCCTGGAAAAAGGACATTTTCCGAACAACTGGAAACACGCCAAGATCATACCTCTTCTGAAGCAAAGGCAAGATGGAAGAAGACCAGAAAGCTACAGGCCCATATCACTCCTGGAAGCGATGGGAAAAATTTTGGAAAAAATCATCTACAAGAGACTGGTGAAGCACACAGAAAGAAGAAGAATTATCCAAGAAGACCAGTTCGGATTCAGAAAAGAAAGAAACTGCGAACTTCAACTAGCAAGGATAATCAGCGACACGAAGATAAAATTCAACAGGAAACAGAAGACAGGATTAGCCATACTGGACATAGAAAAAGCATACTACACGGTTTGGAAGAAGGCACTAATCTTCAAGATGGACAAGGCTAGACTTCCACACTACCTCATTAACATCTGCGACATGTATCTATCCAATAGAACATTCCAAGTTTCAGCTGACCAAAAGATGTCAACGATCCAAGAAATCCAGGAAGGAATGCCTCAGGGCAGCATTTTATCACCTATATTATATAACATTTTTGTTTCAGACCCTCCAACAGATCCAAGGACTTCTACAGCCTTGTATGCAGACGACGCAGCAGTGTATGCATCCGGAAAAGACGAAAGAAGAATCATAGATGACATGGAGAACCACCTGGAAAAATTCACGAACTACACGGAAAAATGGAAAATCAAGATCAACGCAGAAAAGACGCAGTTCATCATATTTACTCAGGACAAACGACCACCACTGAACGAGATCACAGTAGGAGGCAACAGAATTCAGGAATCAGAGACGGTCAAATACTTAGGAGTCCACCTCGATAGAAGACTTAACTTCCGGGTGCATACACAAAAAACAAAGGTTATATTTTACCTTGCAGCTAAAAAACTAATACTTCCTTTCATTTTTAGGTCCAGTCCACTTTCGAAGGCGAAGAAAATTCAACTCTACCAAGCATATGTTAGGTCGGTGATTCTGTATGCTGTACCAGTGTGGAGCTCCATTGCGAAATCACACTGGAAAAAGTTAGAATCAACTGAAACATCATGCTACCGAATCATCGACGGAGCAGCATGGGAGGATAGAGTTACCAACGCGATAATCAAGAACAGACTACGATACATGCCACTGAGGGAGGTGGCCGAGAATAGAACCAGGTGGTTCTTCAACCAGGCTACACGAAGACTACGTAAGACCAGGGACATCCTCGAGAAGAACAGGATCCAGAGGATATTTAGATCCACCCATAGACTGATCGACCACCTGATCAGGGTCTAGAAAACCAGGCATGCAGGGAAGTAGGTACGTTTGTCGATACAAGTACCTACAGAAGCAGACAAAGACACCACCAAGGAAAATCCAGGAGCCGAGAGGAAGAAGCAACAAACGCTAGCGGTGCAAAAGCGGTACGCCGAAGAAAGAAGGCAAAAATTTTATTTAAGTTTGACATGTACATATATTTTTAAGGCAATAAACGTTTTTATTTTTATTTTATTTTTATTTTATTATGTTTATGTGACCGTTCTACTATACGACTCACAAACTTGGACTTTAGGTAACAAAGACAAAATTAAGATAAAAAGCTGTGAAACGCGGTACCTAAAAGTGGTCTTGGGAGTGACGAGAAGTGGTAAATTAAGAAACGATTTTATACGGGAACAATGTAATGTTATATCGGTTGTAAACAAAGTCGAATAAAGAAAATTTACTTCTCTTAGCCATATGATTTGAGTGGACGATAATAGAAAATTGAAGGAAGGGTGGCAAGCAGTAGTGAACAAAAAGCGTTGAAGAAGCAAATGAGCAAGTACATGAAATCGCAAATTGGAAAGGTGCTGAAGAGGCGAGGAAACAGTTGGAGAGAAGCGGAGTCGATGGAAAGAAGAGAAGCGGAAATTCGAGCGATGGAGACGCTTCTAATCCAAAACTTCTAATTCCTTAAGGATAAAGGCACAACAAATATGTATATAGGTAAATAAAAGTAATTAAAAATATACTGTTTATTATACATAAATATAAACAAAATATTGACCTTGTTATCGATTAACAATAATTCGTCTTACTGTTGGTTGAAAATCTTGTACTAGATGAGCCATTGCTCTCTTTGGTAAAATAGGTACAAAAACTTGTGGTTTGGATTTGTCACGGGATATTTTCATAGACATATAACTCTTTTTCGAACCAGACGCAAAGCTAATACTCTTTTTAGGTCTATCCATACGTTCTTCAATACGCTTACGAATGCATCTTATTTTTTTAATATTGGAACTACAAGCATTTTTCAAGTTTTGTAATGTATCTCTCAATTCTTCTGCTTCCTGTAGCGAGTTTTCCATGTCCTTCAATAGTTCTTTTTCTTTTAAAAGACCAGAATCCTCTTGCATCTTGACTAAGAGAGAGCGATATAAATCTCTTTCTTTTTTAGTGTTGTTAAGAGATCTTCGCATATCATTCAAAAATTCAACATTTTTTTGTTGTGTGTCTTTTAGGTCCTCAATATCATTGTCCAAAGCTGAAATTTTTTCACGAATATGAGCCAAGATTTGAATATTTTCATTACACCGTATTCTAAGCTTAGTAAGCTCTACTTCTTTTTCTTCGATTTTGTCTGAATACATTTTGTTTTCTTCTTTTAGTTTCTCATAATGATTTAAATGATGATCTACGTCCACTCTATCCAAAACTTGTATGGCCGATTCTTTTTCCTTAACCATAGATTTTATTTGTAGAGACTTTAATCTCATAGCTGAAACTTCCATTAGACCAATTTTTTGTCGGTTTAATTGCTGATGAATTAGCTTTTCAGAAATTTCTGTTCCTGTTTTTGAATATATTAATCCTGTACCTATTTCACGTTCCCTATTTTGGAGATTTGTAAACCCTAGCTCGAGCTGTTCTTTCATTTTTTCTTTAGTGTTCTTCAGTGCTTCAATTTGTGAGTTTATTAAATTTGTCTTATTACTTTTGTTTTCTAATATGTCAGAATATTCATCCAAAAGTTTATTGTAATTATAAACGTTGTCGACATGTTGATCAGTTTCTTGAAGAGCGTACTCCATATGCTTTTTTCGGTAGTACATTGCCACTCTTCGTTGAAGTAAAGTATTTACGATTCTGTTGTTAGTAATCTGTCGTAAAATTTCAGCATGCTTTTCATATAAAAAAGGTCGGAGTATAGAAGTATCTTCTACTTCTTCTTCCTCTGCTTTTTCTTCTTCCAGACTTTCTTCGTAAGTCCATAGATCCTCATCATCATCCATCATAGTAGCAATTGAACCACCTAGCCTAACGTTAAAATCTATTACATCCATACTAAATCTAGAAAATAAATCATCTACATCCGCTCTAGGTGTCTGGCTGTATTCAAGGAGTCCGTGTTTGTATATGGATACCGCAGATAAAATGCTAGCTTGAGAATTTCTTTTACGCAAATAAGATAGTCCTCTTAAATCTACTTTCGTTGATTTTCGTTTCTTTTTTTCTTCTTTCTTTACCTCTACTTTTTCCTCTTCTTTAGGTTTTTCACCTTCACCTTCAGCTACTGTAATTTTTTCTTCGGCATCGACCTCAAGTTCTTCAACCTCACCTTTTGCAGGCTCTATAATCCCAAATATTTTTCCTAAGACAAATTCTTCCCGTTCTTCGCCTTCAGTTACGGTAATTAATGCTGGACTTTCTGGGGCAAAAAAGTCGCCTTCCGGTAGGGCATCTTCGTCTTCAGTAATAAACTTAGAATACTCTTCCTCTTCTAAAACTTCATCACTGGCTTTTGATAGCTGCTGCTCTGGTTCAATATCAGACAATGTTGCTCCTTTTTCATCTTCACTGACAGATTCTGGCTCTGTTTGCTCTGGTTCTAAATCAGAGTCTGATATTTCTTTTGCTTCTTCAATAACAGGTAGAGTCTGAACTTGTTCTGGTTGACTATCAGATTCTAATATTTCATGCCCTTCTTGTTCTGTGTTCTCCTCACCCTCCAGTTCTTCGCCGTTTGTATTTTCTTGTATATCTTTAACTTCATTTATTTCTTCACTCATCTTACAGCAGATAAAAATAATAGCACAAAAAGTGACAGTAGAAAAATTATTATCATAAAATGTCAAAGTTTGAAAGTTTATTTACAGTAGGTCACTTTTGTCAGTGACGTCATGCTGGAATGATAATCTAATCAAATTGACTACTTTATTTATACAGTGATCGGTCAGATAGCCGAACGGAGCCGACTTACAACTCGCATTTACTTCATTGTCGAAACGTTTTAGTGGACGATGGTTCAGGACCTGGCCGAGACCGAAAAACAAAAATGCTAAGGCAGTACGCAATTCGCTGTTGAAGAGAGGTCTTCCGACTTCTTGTTACTTCGTATAGATGTAGCAGCTAGCATACCAGACTTTTTCTTTTTCTTTTGGTGATTATTCGTTTCGATTATTGGCGATCATTCTGGTTAAGAATATTTTATTAACAGATGCTTGAAATAGGTTAGTTGCTGTTGTGGAGAACCATTTCGTTAGGTTTTTTAACCATGGCATTATTCTTTTTCCAATTCTTCGCTTTCCGAATACTTAGCCTTGAAAAACTATTTTCAGTAATCCGTATGTAGTGACGTTTCTGATTATGTGTCAGAGATATTTTAAAGTATAGAGTAAAAAGTATAAGTATAAGTAGATATTTTGTTGTATCTCAGGTTATGTGCAAGTTGGTGTTATTCTCATTGATATAACTGTGCAATCAGGTTTAACTTTTTAATATGGATATTACTCCTAGAAAAAGAGAAATAATCATAACACTTATTGAGCATACCCAATGAATCAGAGGGACATTGCAAAGGAGTGTTGTGTAAGTTTAAGTGCAGTAAACAAAGTAATTAAACAAAAAAAGGAAACAGGATCAGTTGAAGTGCAGCGGAAAGGAAAATATGGAAGAAAACGAAAGACTGCTCCTCGAGATGAAGGCTTTCTTTGGCGCGATAGCAAACTTTATCCCAGAAAAACAATTTATGACCTCCAGCAAGATTTAGAAAAGGCTGGAATAAAAATTCACGACTCAACGGTACGCCGACGTCTCTTAGAAGGAGGGAGCAGAGCCTATGATGAAAAAAGACTAAATTGGGCAAAATAATACGCTCATTGGAGTGCAGAAGATTCGAGAAAAGTGTTATTTTCTGATGAGACCCACTTCCTAGTGCAGTGCCAGCGATCAAAATTCATACCTAAGGCAGCCAATGAGTCACTTTCATCTAGCCATATTAACCCAACATTTAAACATCCCACCAAAAAAATGTTCTGGGGCTGTTTTTCGTACCCAAGAACTGGCACTCTTATTCCCATTGAAGGTATGATGAACAGTGAAAAGTACAAAGCCATGCTAGAGCAACGCTTAGCCATAGGGCTTGACAAAGTACAGGTCGAATGGGCTGCAATTTTTCAACAAGATTCAGCTCCGTGCCATGTATCGAAGGTTATGATGAAATATTTCAAGGATAATAATAATATTAGCCTTCTTGATTGTCCTGGGAATTCACCTGACCTTAATCCTATTTGACAATTTGTGGGCAATATGTAAGGCTAAACTGCAAAAATTTGACTGTACGACAAAAACAATAATGGTGGAAGAAATGATTAAGGTGTGGTTTAGAAATGAAGCAATCACAAACAATTGCAAAAAACTTGTGGATTACATGTTTAGAAGACTCTAGGAAGTCATAAAAGTAACAGGGGGACATATTAAATACAAATTAATGGAAGATCTCATGTAAGTGTACCTAAATTTACCTTTGGCCCAAATAAATCATATTTACAAATTAATTATGTTTGTTCACATTAATTCGAACAATACTGTAACTTTCTTCTTTTAATTGTATACATCACTTCTCTATCTTTTTATTTTGTCCGTCCATGATATTTTTACAATTTTTCTGCATAGCCACATCCCGAAGGCTTTAAGTTTTTCTCCATTGCTTCAGTGAGTGTGTAGGATTCAACTCCATAATATAATATCGAGAAGATATAACATCGTAGGAGCCTTACTTTTATATCCAGATTAAGGTTTTGGATTTTAAAGAGTATTGTAGAATCCGCTCTTGGCCTTCTCTATTCTACATTTCACTTCTTGTGAGTGATCCCGTTGTTCGTTGACTATTGTTCCAAGATAGGTAAACTATTTTACTCAGTCCACTGGTGTATTATTGATATGCAGTTAGACGTCTCTAATTTTTTTTTTGCTGGTAACCATAAATTTAGTTTTAATATGTTTATTTTTAGTCAAAATCTTTCACTTACTTTATTTACTTTGTTTATTAGTTGTTTAAACTGTCTGCAAAAATAACGTTGTCATCTGCACAGCGAATGTTGTTTAGGCATTCTTCATTTAAAAGGATTCCATGTTCGCAATTTTCCAACTCTTCACTAAATATTTACTCTGAATCGTCTCGCAGAATCATGTATCTCCCGTACAGTATATCTCCCATACCAGGCCAGTATATTTTAATTATAACGCCAAATACTAGACTGCATTTCATTTCATTTTGACAACTCAACGTTGGACCTATTCATCACAAAAGACGCGATAATACAAGATGTAAGGGCGCATTTCGAATGCAGTTCGGATCACAAACCAGTAACAGGAAAAATGGCATATCAAGAGTGGACCTTCCTACAGTGGAACCAGTGGAAAGACGGAGATGGAAAGAAGCAAATTGACCAACCTACAGAAGGCAAAATGAAAATGAACAGAGAATTCCAATCAACAGAAGAAGTGGAAAAATAAATGGAAAAAACAACAAGAAAAATTCAACAAGTTATGGAGTACAACATACCCAAGGGATTTATAAATAATAGAGAACTAATAATGCCAAACAAACTGCAAAACATCATTAAGGACAAAAAAAAGGGCGAGAAGAGCTTTTCAGAGGACAAAAAGACAGGAACGTAAGGACTACGGAGACGAACTTTCCGAAGAAATAAGAGTAAGACTCAGAAAAAAAAATGGCACAATAGCATCAGGAAATCTGAAGAAAATTATGTAGACGTGTGGAAAATGCTGAAAGCTAAACGAAGAGTAAAGTAGAAGATGCTTCAAATCATCAAACAACATTAAACACAATAAAAAGTGGGTGCAATCGCAAGAAGAATGGCAGCAACACACAGACAAAACCAAAACATATAGGATGCAAGAATCATAGAAGTTATAATAGATCAGAAGTCATAAGTCAGACAGAATACGAAATAATCAAGAAAATAAACGAGTTTTTAGTAGAGAAAGAAGACTCACCAACCCAACAGAAGTTGCTAAAATCATAAGAAGATTAAAAGGAAGCGGAGCTCCAGGAACAGAAGGAATTCACAACATCGTCATCAAGGAACTGTCAAAGAAGAATATAGTACAGCTGTATTACAGTACAAAAAGTAAGCTGATAAAATGTATAGATCAAACATCAAGCAGGCAAATAGGAAAGTAACAGGATGCCTTAAGACCCCCAGAAAAGATCCCCTCAGAGCTCGATCATTATGATAGCGTGGAATAAATTTTACTCTTAGAGATTAAGGGTCATATACCTAAAATAAAATATTAAACAAAACTAATATACTAAACTCAGACTTTATTGAATTCTTTAAATGTAATACTATTATGTGATAATTTATTGCTTTGTTGCTATTGCTAAACCAATACATTTCTTTTGTAGATCATCTAATCTGTTAATCACGTTTAGATAATTTTTTGATCCTTTGCCTTCTGGTGGTGTGTCACAAGAATCTGCTGTTATGCAAACTGGTAAAAATGTCAATCCACAATTGTTAGACTTTAAGAGAGTAACTTTGTTTGCGTTTAACCATGCATGTAAATTGTTCATACAGGGACATGACCATGGGTTATGATCTATACCTATCTGGCTTAAGGTAAGTTCTTTGTGTTGTTGAAGATCCAGTTTCCAGAAGTTATTTGATGCTACGTTAAGAGTGTTTATTGTTATTTTGCTGGGAAAAATGTTCGTATCAAGACTTGATAATATGTTACTCTTTAAATTTAAAACTTTTAATGATTTTTGAGCTCTAAATGCTTCTTTTCCTATAGATGCAATCCTGTTATATGAAAAATCAACTTCCTTTAATACGGGCATCCCATCAAATGCTCTTTTAGGAATGGATTCAATTTTATTATGTGAAAAATCTAAAATTTCTATATCCGGTGAATAAGCAAACCAGACTTTCTTCCATTCTCTAAACTCGTTATGACTAAAATTTACTTCTGTCATTGTCATATTGGATAAGGCTTCATCTGTTATTGAGCTAATTTTGTTATTATTTAAACGTAAGATTTTGATTGTGTCGAATATGTCGTAGATCCCTAAAACAAAAATTTAGTAAGAAATAATTTAAATAATGCTACAGCCTCCATTTGATTATTTTTAAAACTAATATAAATATAATCCACTTAGTTAAGTATTGAATATATAGTGTATTCCAAAGAAATTTGACCCCCCTCCCCAGCCCCCCAGAAACTCAGAAACCAAGAGTTTCTTCAAAATTTAAAAAACATGTCAATTTGTATTGGGAGAGGAACGAATTTTCATGCAAAATTCATGCGCTCAAATGCAACCCCGATATGCCCGACACCAACCCCCAGTTTTTTTTTAATTGTAGGTGTGGTAGAGTGGCACGTCATTTGAAAGGTATTTTTTTCCTAAACCACACTTTTTTTTAATCTATATCTGTGGGAAAAATACATATTGTACAATCGATGTTGGTTGTTGTTTATGATTTCACTAAATCATTCACAAAATTGAAGCCGACGATCAGGAAAATCTTCATTTAATTGATGAAGTAATCATATTTTATATGGGTGAAATTTATTTTATAATTCGACACAACAGATGCACGAGATACTCTGATAGACTGTCACTTATCCATTTCTGAATAACCCAGTACCGCCCCTTCAACTATAGCTTCAAACTTATCAGTTAAATGTTTAACTAATGGGTGGCTTACTTTTTTTTCTGGTTTGCTCGAATTAAAGATCTTTGTCGCAGCCTTAGTACACTGAATATTTCCATAGTATAGCTTAACTAACTCTATTCTTTATTCACTAGAAGAGCCCATTATTGTAAGATATTACAAAAATATCTCTGATCAATTAGTAGTCACAAAACTCAAATTAAACGTAACTTGGTAAACACAAAAGAAGATGATTAGGATTCGTTATGTTTTAAAAAAAAAAAATTCATATGAAAAATGATATTTTTATAAAAAGAAAAAAAAATATCTTTAATACAGTGGCGTGTTTATATCGATTTCCAGGTTTATTGAATTATTATATTATGTTCAGCCAATAAATTAGTTAAATCCAAAATTACCTTCAAAGTTATTACGTAAATTAAAAAAAATAGAAATACTTTCCTTTCAAATGATGTGCCACTCGACCACACTTGCTATTAAAAAAAACTGTGTGTTGATGCGAAGCAGTAGGGGGTTATATTTGAGGCAATGAATTTTGCATAAAAATGCATCCCATAGTAGAGTATAGATGGGACAAGATAAGGGAATTAATAGATAACAGAGACGAAAGACAGGAAATCCCTATAATAACATTATCTGAATTGACGGAAACCTTAAAAGAGGTAAAAAACGGAAAAGCCGCAGGGTCTGGAGACATTCCCATAGAGCTGGTTAAATATGAGCCGACTGCACTTTTAGAATTAATAGTAGACATTTTTAATAAATGTATGTGTGGAGACCAGGAAATTCCTAAAGATTGGAATAAATCTTATATAAGCTCCATATATAAGAGAGGGAATAAAAGAGACTGTTCCAATTATAGAGGTATTCTTGTGACGAGCTTTGTGGGCCGGTTGTACGGCAGAATATTAAAGAAGAGGGTTGAAAGACAGATACAAGATATTGAAGAACAAAGCGGCTTTCGTACCGGGAGATCCTGCCTTGATAATAGAGAGAAGTAGAGAGACCCATTTGGTATTTATAGACCTTGAGAAAGCATATGATAGTGTCCCGTTAAAGAAAATGTTTGAGGTTCTCGAAAGGTCCGGATTGGATTCGACGTATATCCGAGCGATATATAAATTGTACGAAAATGCAGTTAGTTGTGTAAAAATTGGAACCAGAACTTCAAATGAATTTAAAGTGACTAAAGGCCTAAAGCAAGGATGCTGTTTGTCACCGACACTCTTTAAAATATACGTCCAAGAAGCATTGAGGAATTGGAGAAATAAATGTGGATTTATGGGCATCGAAGTAGGACAAGAAACTCTATATACATTGTTGTTTGCAGATGATCAGGTGGTGGTTGCAACCGATGAGGAAGATATAAATTATATGAATGGAAAATTATTTGAGGAATATGCCAAATGGGGGCTTAATGTAAACATAAGCAAAACAGAATATTTAAAAATTTGAGGAAATACCACAGATCTGAGGCTTGAAAACGCAGTCATAAAAGGTTGCAACCAGTATAAATATCAAGGATGCATCATATCAGCAGATGGCAGAGTTAAGATAAATATACATAACCGAATAACCCAAGGGAAAAAATGCATCCGAATACTGAATTCATTACTGTGGTCTAATAAAATAAAGATGCATACCAAACCTCGTGTATACAGAGCAATTGTAGAACCGATTACCACGTATGGTGCCGAATGTTGGACGATGACAAAGAGTGAACGAGATAAAGTAGACGTTGTGGAAATGGATTATCTTAGAAGGTCATGTCGAGTATCTAAAATGGAAAGAATCAGGAATGAGGAAATACGAATGCGACAGGAATTAGAGATACTCTTTCAGATAGAAAACAAGGAAGGCAATTACAATGGTATGGTCACGTGATGAGAATGGAGGAGGAGCGGTGGCCAAAGAAAGCCTTAATGTATGTTCCGCCAGAAAGAAGGAAAAGGGGAAGACCACCAAATTCCTAGAGAAGGGAAATTACAAAAACAATGCAATCTAGAGGCTTAGAAGAGGGAGATTGGAGAGATAGGAAAAGATGGAGGCTGAAATGCGTGAAGCGGCAATCACCGTAGGACCCCAGTTATATGATCATGAATTTAAATACCTGGAGGTAATCTCAGGTTGATAAATGAATACCTGGTTTTGTAAAAAACGAAGATCTACCACGAAAGGCGAGTATTGCTGATGTGGAATGCAGAGCAGAACTGAACAGAAATTCACGACTCACTATGGACGAACTAAATAACAAATTGGAGGCCAAGAGCAGAAAAACGTAGTAGAGGAAGACTACCTACACGTTGGGCTGACGACATTAGGCGTCTCACCAAAAATTTAGGAAAAGTTTAAGGAAAGCCTATGTAAATTTCTATTAGTCGTAGTTGTAGTGTTGAGTTTAAGTAGAGCTTTGATTAATGTCCTATCAATTACAACTAAAGTATTTTTAACGTAACAATCAAACCACAACCTTCAAACAAAATAAGCAAAAAATAGCGTTATACCTACCTCCAGTGACCTCAGTTATCAAATTATGGGTAACCTCGACAACTCTGATTCTTAATAAATTTCTTAATGCTCCTCGAGCAATATTTTTAATTTTGCAGTTATTCAGTTCTAAAACATCCAGTTTAACTAAATGTCTGATATACTCCCTTCCTATATTTGGAAGATTTTGGTTTCTTATATGAATTTCAGTAATCGTTTTTCCGCCAAAATTTCTTCTCTCCAGGCAACCACTAAATGTCATGTTACTTCTAGAATAAATAAACATATAATTACATCAAGGTTCATTACCAATATAGTTTACATAAACTTGTTTTGTTTATTACCTACTAACCAAAACTATTTATTGGAATTTTTGATATGTTGAAACCATAACTGGTTAATTCATAAAGTTAGTTTTATTATTTAAATTTAAAACGCATCAACCTATTTGGTTATTAGCACCGCTTGATATTACAAAGATCTTTTTTACAATTCCGAATAAATATTGATTTATGATGAAAATTGATTTTGATACACATAGATTTTTACATACATAGATTTCTAATTACATGGTCTGAGCTACATATAGTTGCCTTCTGTCTAAGGTGACGTCCTAGTGCTATGTATATTGCGAATATTTCTCTTGTATATACTGTGCTATAATTTGAGCTTTTGTATGAAGCAGTATTGTGTATGAAGGCACATCCCACTCTTTCTTCTAATTTGAAGGGTCGAATTCCAACATATAAATATGTTGGAAATTCTGGTACGTATCAATCTCACTCTAAAATTGTTTAAGCATAAAGAAAGTACTAAGTTGAGTACTAGTCTTTGTTAAACTCGTGTCTAGGAACGGTTTAGATCTTTTCTTCTGAAGATATATTATATGGAAACAAGAAGCAAAGACAGTCTATCTGACGGGATTTTTACCATTTACCGAAACGTTTGCAGCATATGTTAGGCTAAGATTTTGTCTTCTAAATTCCAGAGGCATTTCTCCTACTAAATATAGTAAGATATCTGTCGGTGTGGTACAAAAAGCTACCAAGGTTTGTGTTGCAGCAGCATTTTGGATTGTGTACAACACTTTTAAAAGTGGTTGACTGGTAGACCCATCCACCATTGAGCCATAAACTACTTTAGATCTAATAAGGCTTTTATATCCTGTCAATAAGATATCTTGATCACATCCCCAATTTTAAGTAGATAGGATTTACATCATGTTCAAGTATTGTTACAAGAGTTTTTTAAAGTGATTTTTTAAAATTTATATAATAATTTATATAATAATAAAAACAACATACTCTATTTTCTTATTATAATGTAGGTAAGTTATGGACTACTAGCATTACGTTTTCTGGTGAAATGGATACATTTACTTTTATTAGAACAAAATTGTATTCCCGGTTTCATTGACCATCTTTTTAATGCAGAAATAGTTTCTTGTAATGTTTTTTAAGTATTTTCATTCTTTCTTTACAATAAATTATGAGATCATCTGCGTATAGCTCACTCTTTACCGGTGGAGTATAATTTGCCATAACTCCATTAGCAATAAGAAAAAGAGTAACACTAATCGATGATCCTTGATAATCGGGTATCATTTTCGTGTAGTCTTGTTTTAGAAATGAAGTCGTCTACTTTTACTTGTAAGCATCGGTTTTTTAAAAAGTTAGTGATAAAGTTTAAAATATTTGCTTATAAACCTAATTTCTGTAAAGTTCCTCTTATTCCAGGGCGTCAAACCTTATGAAATGCTCTGGTTATATCAAAAAATACCGTTATGCGTCTTTAACTATTTGCTAGCGGTTCATGTGTTTCGGACTCAAGGTCAACTAAGTTATCTAAAGTTGATCTATTTCACGAAATCCATTTCACAAAATGAAGGCAAATTCAATCCTGATATAGACTAACCCCAAAAATTTATTCAAGATATACTAAATGACTTAGTAAGAGACTTGGGCTTATTGAAGGATGCTACACAAATCTTAGGATCACGACTGAAAGATAAAAATTGGCTTCAGGTACCATATTTGCGTTGTACAGGCATCGTGAGAAAGAGTTCGCGTAATATTTTTCTCAAGTAGACTCACTGGTGTATTATTTTAATATTCCTGAAGTAGTCATGAAACTGAGAGCTGACAATTACGATTCCACATCATGACGGTTATTTATTGATTCTTCTAAGAGATGTCCAAAGGGTGTCCTGTTGTACAATGGTAATACTTATGACTCAGTGCCTATTGCTCACTTCGTGCATCTCAAAGAAATCTCTATTTATCTATACAGTCCTTGCTGTTCAATTTTGGACATAGGCCTCCTCTTCCTTCTTCCACGTCTCTCTATTGTAGGCAGTTTGTATAAGTTTTGCTATCTACGTTGATACATCGGTCACTTTTGTTTTGTTGCGGATCCAAGTATTTATTTTCTTGTCTGATAGCCTGATGTTCAGCATTTGCCTTTCCATAGGTCTTTGGGTCTTTGCTATTTTTTGCATGTTTTCCTTTGTCCAAGTTTAAGAACCGTAGGTAAGAACATGAAGTATACATTGGTGAAAGACTCTTGTTTTTAAATATTGGGGGTATTTTCTATTTTTTAGTATATAGGAAAGTTTTCCGAAGGATACCCAAGCCAACCGTATCCTTCTCGATATTTCTCCGGTCTGATTTTCTTTATTTAATTTAACTAGTTGTTCCAAATATACATATTCTTTTACTTGTTCTATAATTGGTTGTGCAATTCTAATTATTAATTCTTCTGGCTGGTTGGTTATAATTTTCGTTTCATTATAATTCATTTGTAGACCTATTTTTGTTGGTTCGGTATTTAACTCATCCATCATATTTTGTAATTCTTCCCTTTTGTCTGTTATTAATACAATGTCGTCTGCATATCTCAAGTGATTCAAGTATTGACCATTTATGTTAATACCAAGTTTTTTCCATTGTAATTTCCTTACATCATCTTCCAAAGAAATATATGAGAATATTGAGCTGTTTCTTAATAAAATAAAGTATAGCGAATATTGTTGGCCACTATGTGGAGATCTCAAAATAATATCCATGCTTTAGGGTCAGCAGTCTGGATTCACAAAGTATCCATTTTTGTGCGAGTGGGACAGTCGAGTAAGAAACTTACATTGTGTTAAGAAAGAGTGACCACTCAGAGAAAAACTTGTACCGGGCCAAAAAATACGTTGACACTAGTTGACCCAAAATTAGTTCTTTTGTCTCCTCTTTACATAAAGTTTTGATTAATGAAGCAGTTTGTCAAAGCTTTAGATAAACAAGTTGACTGCTTTAAATATCTGTGCGACAAATTTCATGCACTTACTGAAGCTAAACGTAAGGAAGGAATTTTTGTAGAGGCCCTCAAATTCGAACCTTAAAATCGGACAGATTCTTCCAGAATAAAATGGCCCAGATTAATTCTGAAGCAACGAGTCCTTTTATAGAAGTCATAGACGGTTTACTTGGAAACAAGTCTCCAAACTGGGATGCAATATGGGCGTCAAGCTTCATTTACTGGATTCCTACGTTGACCATTTTCCCGAAAATCTTGGATTTGTCATCGAAGAGCAGGAAGAGTGGTTTTATTAAGATATAAAGGAGATGGGGATACGTTACTAAGGAATATTAGAATGATGGCTGATTACTGCTGGACCTTGAAGAGAGACTCGATCACAAAAATCTATAAAAAGAAGCCCACAAAACGCAGTTTTCATGGAAAAAAAAAGAACGGGTTTATTTAAAAAACTAAATCTTGTCTAACGTAGGTTATGTTTTATCAGTATTTTTGGCAGTTTCTAGGAAAAATTTTAAACCCACTTTTCTTAAAAATCTGACGTGTTGTAAAACAAACTAAGCACATCCCTTTTACTATAGGACACCTATTAAACTTAAAATACTTTTTCATGAAAAAAAAATGTAGGCCTGTGAAATAATGTGTTTTATTTTTCAATAAAAATTCAACTTCTGTATATACTACTAAGAACAGAATTGGAGTTGTGCAAGCAAGTTAGCAAAGAGAACAATACGACGTTTCTTATGATAGTGTAAAACTATTAGAGTTTGGTGATATTGGTATTTATCCTACAATTCATATTTTGTTGAAAATGTTTGTGACATTACCTTTAAGTGCATCTAGTGCTAAAAGAACATTCTCCACTTTGAGGAGAATTAAAACTTGTCCACGGTCAACTATGACTAAAGAGAGAATTGGCATTGATGCCAATTATAAGCAAGGTTCCTACAGCCTCTGCCACCTCTCGCATTTCGACCGCCATCGTTTTCTGTCCACCCATTCGTCTTCTTTGATGGCTCTCTCTCTCATTATGTGTCGTACATTTCTTCCCAGGCAACTGAAGGCCTTTCCCTTCTTCTTCTTTGTTGTGGTATGTAATTTAAAGCTTTCTTTGGCCATCTATCTTCATTCATTCGCTTCACGTGACCATACCACACTAGTTGTCTCGTTTTAATTCTGTCTACACTGGAATATACAGTATTTGTCCTCCTTTTAATATCTTCTTTCCTGATATGATCTTTTTTGGATACACCACACGCTGTCCTTAGAAAATCCATTTCTATTACTTCTATTATTTTTCTATCTTTTTTCGTGATCTGCCAAACTTCTGCCCCCTAAGTCATAATAGGCTCTACCAAGGTTCGATAGATTGTCAATTTTGTTTCTTGCTAAATATCTTTAGACCATAGTAGAGAGTTTAGAATGTTAACCGCTTTTTTTCCCTGCTGCGTTCTGTTTTCGATGTCTCTTTTGGTAGTGCCTTCTTTAGATATTATAGATCCGAAATATGTATATGCCTTGCATGTTTTTGTGTTTCTAATTTCTAACTCTGGATATTCTTCATCATCTCCTATTTTAAGATACTCTGTCTTTGACATATTCATATTAAGGTCCCATTTTTCATAATCCTTCTTTAGTTTTCTAAACATGTAGTCCATGTCTTCCTCATCATTCGCTACGACTACCTGATTATCTGCGAAAAATAAAATTATTAGACATTTACCATCCCCTATGTCTATTCATATTCTAAATACTTCTTTCCTCCACTGCTCTAGCGATGATTGAATATATATTTTAAATAAAAATTTAGATTTTAGATCAATTAGATTTTATAATAAACTAAAAATAATTATAAATTAAGTAGAGATTTATCCATACGGCTCTCACTTCCTAGAAGGGAAAAATTCACTAATCCCAGATACCTACGGTATCAAAATGATTAAGCTCCGGTGGGACTCTTTCCGTGTTATCGAACCCTAGGTGACTTGGTTTGCTTGAGTGTCTCCCAAATATTTTTGTACATATTTGGACCTCGAGAAAGTCATGAACGGCAAATGACAAGTAGAGTAAACAAACTTACTGATTATGGAGTACGGAATCCAAGATCCGGTAGGGGAGGAATAACCGTAGATCACAGGGCTTCCCAGGTCGTAAACTAGAAAAATCCCTGTGCACTTAAGACATTGAAAATAGCAACCTGGAATGTCAGAAGTCTATACGCAAATGGTAAATTAATAAACGTACTGCTTGAAATCGAAATCCTCCATATTGATGTTTTAATTATAAGTGACGTACAGTGGCCAGGTTCAGGCAAACAAATTACAAATAATGGAACCATTTATTATTCAGGTAATAACGAGGTTAATCATCGCTATGGTGTTGTTATTTTAGTTGCAAAATAGGTCAAATAATCTGTGAGAAGTTTGACTCCTTATTCTGACAGGATCTTAGCAATAAAACTTCAGTCTAAAAAAGGTATAGTAAATTTTATTTAAGTTTATGCTCCTACGGCAGATAAAGATGACGACGATATCGAACTATTTTACCATGATTTGGAACAAGTCTTAAAATCAATGAAGAAACACCACACTGCAATAGTAATGGGCGACTTCAATGCAAAAGTTGGCAAGGGAAGATTGGATGGATATGGGAGGAATATGGTCTAGGAAATAGAAATGAACCGGGTGACTGACTTTGATATAATTTTGCCAGACAGAAGAATTTGTAATAGCTAATACACTTTTTAAGCTGCCAAAAAGAAGATTGTATACATGGAAATCTCCCGGTGATACAAGGAATAGAATAATCCGAAATCAAATTGACTTTGTCCTCATTAGACAAAGATTTCGTATTTCTATACTATCTGCCACATCTACGTAATGCCCTAGAACTGAATGACAGAAGCTATAGCATTGATGAGAAATGGAAAAATATAAAAGTAGCAATAATTAAAACAGCAAATGAAAACTTAAAACCCAAGAAAAGAAATATAAAGACTGGATGACTGAAAAAATACTACTCTTAATGAATGAAAGAAAATCATTCAAAACAAAAAATCCAATTAAATATAATGAAACTGATCGATTAATTAAAAAGATAATAAAAGAAGCTAAGGAGAGAATGTTACATGAGCAGTGCCAAAAACTAGAAGAAATTGAAAAAAAATATGACTTTTTTAACATGCATAAGAGAATTAGAGAATTAACAGGAATGAGAAAAACATTTCAAACTAGGCAACTAAGAGATGAAAGTGGTGCACTTATAACAGATATAAACCAAAAAAGGCAGAGATGGACACGATATATAGCACAACTTTTTGAAGACAAAGAGAGAACAGAAGCCCCAAAAGAAAAAAGGATGATACTGGGCCTGACATTATACGAGAAGAAATTGAATATACAATGAAACAAGCTATTGATCTTCTTTTGGATCTATTCAATACTATATATAGAACAGGTATAATACCTAAAGAATGGCTGGCTCCACTCAACATTCATACTGCTACCCAAAAAAGTCAATGCAAAGAAGTACAATGAACATCGCACCATAGCCTTAATGAGTCATGTCTTGAAATTGTTTTTACTACTAATTCACAATAGAATACATAAGAAATTAGATGAAGACATAAGTATTAAACAAATAGGATTTAGGAAAGGACTGGGAACACAAGATGGATTGTTTGCAGTAAGTGTTCTTTCGCAGAGATGCTTAGATATAAATCAGGAAGTATATGGCTGGTCTATTGTTTTGAGAAGGCATTTGACAGAGTGCAGCATAATAGGCTTAAAGAAATTAAATAAAAACATAGACAGTAGAGACATTAGAATCATATATAACCTCTATTGGAACAAAACAGCAAAGGTGAAAGTTGAAAATGAACTGACCGAGGATATCCAGATTCGCCGTGGGGTCTGCCAAGGGTGTATTTTATCACCCTTGTTATTCAATTTATACAGTGAAGCCATCTCAGAATTAGCGCTTGCCGAGGTCAGTGAGGGCCTTATAATAAACGGTGAGCCACTTAATAGCATCAGATATGCTGACGACACCGTCCTTCTAGCAGGAACACTAGAAAAACTGCAACACCTTGCTGAACAACTAAATATATATTGCAACGATTATGGACTAAAAATAAATTTTAAGAAAACCAAGTTTATGGTATTTACAAAAGTACAAAACATCAAAGTTAAGCTTCTTCTTCTTCTCGTGCCACTCCTAGCGGAGATTGGAAATCATCATGGCCACTGCGACTTTGTTAGCAACGTGCCTGTATTAAAGTCTGCGCCTGTAAAGTTAAGCTAGTACTAGATAATACAGAAATTGAACAAATATCTTCGTACAAATACCTTGGAGCATGGATCACAGAAGAGACTAATCAGACAAAAGAAATAAGATGCCTCATTAATTGCACGATCAACTTTTAATAGAATGAGAAAACTTTTTTGTAATCGCGATATCAATATATTGCTCGGGATAATAATGCTTGGATGTTATATTTTCTCTACCCTTTGTATGGGGTTGAAGCTTGGACACTTAAAAAATCCAACATTAAAAACCTAGAAGCATTCAAAATGTGGTATTACCGACGTATTTTGAAAATATCATGGATGGATTGCAAAACAAACGAACAACTAGGAAAACAATGCGAAATTTTCAATTCCATAAAAAAAAGGGAATTGGAATATTTGGGGCACATCATTACAGGTGAAAAATACGAACTACTAAGGAATATAATGCAGGGTAAAATCAAAGGCAGAAGAAACTTAGGAAGATGTAAAGTCTCGTGGCTACGCAATCTCCCTAAATGGTTTGGATGCAGTTCAATTGAACTATTCAGGCGCGCAACCAACAAAATTATAATTGCCAGAATGATTTCCAATCTCCGATAGGAGCAAAGCTTGGAGAAGAAGAGAAGGACATCGAAAGTAGTACAGCTTTCTGCATGGTCTTATAGAAATGTTCATAAGACCCAGCTATTTTATGTTCTCTAGGAGGTTTTTGAAAATAACACCAGTAGTAGATATAATAATAGGAACTGTCTGAGTACTTTCCATTCTCCATTGTTTCCTGAAATGTATTTCAAGATCTCTGTACTTTTCGTTGTATTTTGCATGGTCCATTGGAGATATATATTCAGACCCGACTTTTTTATATTTTTTAGGGGGTTTTTTAGAATGATACCAAGTACTAGAGAGAACAATAGGTATTTTTTAGGTACTTTTCATTCTTCATTGTCTTCTTATGTTAATTTCAAGATTTCTGTACTTGGAGATCATTTCGTTGTATTTAACACTCAGGTTATTGTTGTTAGGTATAGGTACATCTTGTAGTATTATCCAGATTTAGTCATACGGCCCACTACAATTAATTAATTATAAAAGAATAGTAATATTATTATCTAAGCCTAGACATTTAGACGATTGGCCCCCGCTTAACAATGCTGGATCCACCGCTGTAAGAGAGGAACACAAAAGAATTGTGTAATGACAAATACGCCAATCCGGTCCTGTCTACAAGATTTGCATTGCTAAACTGAAAGTGTAGAACATACAATAAAATCTAAGTTGTCTACAAGATTCATTTATAATATAAATTGTCTATGGAGATAAACTGACACTATGAAACAAATTTTATACAGTATAAGTAAACAAACAAAGAAATTACCTTTTATTCTCAATATCTTTCACTTCTATTAAAACATTTTTGATGCCTTCACAGGCCAAACTAGCCTTGATAGGTAGTGTTATTAGAACAATTGTAAACACCGCGAAAATAACTTTGTAAGACATGTTTGTCACCAAACTTAAAATTAACACTAAATCAGTCGCAAAGTTTAATCAACCGACCAACCTTGGTTTATCATATGAGGTCAGATATAGCGGGATTTTATTTAGTTTTGAGTTTCAATGTTTTTCTGCTTGGGAATTCTTTCTACTTCGACTAGTTGATAATTTCAGGAAACTGTTATGCCAGAGAGAGAGATCAACTTAATGTTGAGTAATGTACAGAATTTTTAAGCGATAGGGAAATTCCAATAACCACAGATTCTTAATGAATAATATTGCCTAATTTTTATAACTATAAATAGAAAGTTACTATTGTCATTAACATCAGTCACTTATGTAGATAGGAATTACTAATTAATATTGTTCTTTAGAAACTATTTTTTATATTTGGTATTTTTTAGGTTGAATAATACATAAATATTATCAAGAATTTGATCAAATATCTTTCAGTCAAGTACATTTAATAGACGTATTCGATTAAATATTAGTAAGCTTGATATATAGAGAGCATTAAAAAGAATGATGCTATGCTTATACAAACGACAAGATTGAGTTCTACCAAAAATGAATAAAATAATAAAGTAAGGTTTCCTAATTTGGACCATTTATTAAATATCTATTGTATTTACATGTTAATTAATATTTCAAAATTTTATCATAAAAATCATTTACTATAGTGTATTTTTATGTATGAGAGAGTAATAAAACAATAAATTATGTATGCAAATCCCTAAACTGTTGATACGGATGACTCAATGAAAAACAGATATTTGTCAACAAGTTTACAGAAGTATATGGGAAAACAATTTCAAATTGAGTATGACCACCAGGTATAAAGGTTGGAGCAGAATAGGATACAATAGTTGTGAGGGTTACTAATCCCTAAATAAGGTTGCCAGTGTCGGAGTGATGGAGGTTAACAGGTACTAATGAATTTGCAAGAAATGTAAGATGTTTATTTTATTGGTTATATATAACCAATAAAAGTTTAATAAGTACCTACCTATTTGCAAAATAAAGTTTAATTCTTTAGATAAAATAAAACGTTTTATTTTATCTGAAATGAGTGCTTTCCACGAAGTAAGGGTTTCAACAATCAAACATTTAATTCTTTAATTCCAGGAATCTACGACAGTAATTGACTAAATAATTACCTTTTAAACTTATTCCACAGAAAGTGTGATAGTGGGTTTTTCCATTTTGTAGGAAGGTCCAAGTGGCGTATTCAAAATTCTTAACAGTTCACTAAAAGTAGGTACTTCAGTTGCAAGGTGCAGTTTACTGTGTATACTAGTGTTATGGAAAATTTGGAAGTGCCGTGTAAACGCCGAAAAATTGGTCCTTTAACAGTTAATGAAAAAACATTAATATTTAATTGTTTTAAATCATTTACAGACAAACGTTTATGTGAAAGTGTTGATGAGACCTTTGAGTTAGTTAGCAGTATACTTGGTGTTGGGAAATCTACGATTTACAGAGTTATTAAAGAAGAAAAATGTGGTAATTTTCAAATGCCACGTAATGCTCCAGGGAAACCAAAATTTCAAATAGAATATCATTTTAAAGAAGGACTTCGACGGAAAGTGCATGAATTCTTCTTTAGACAAGAATTTCCAACATTGGATAAAGTTCTTGTCTCAGTTCGAGATGATTACCCAGAAATGAGTCGAAGTACGTTATGGAAACTTTTAAAAGAAATATGCTTCCGCTGGAAAAAGAATCCCAGAAAGTCTATTTTATTAGAAAGAAGCGATATTGTCATATGGAGAAGACATTTTCTAACAACCATAAAGGAAATGAGAAACCAAAAAAGAAAAATATTTTATCTTGATGAAACATGGATCAACGAGGGTCATACACCAAATAAATTTTGGCAGGATGAAACTGTTACAAGTCAAAGGCACGCTTTTGTAAATAACTTATCTACTGGTTTAAACCCACCATCAGGAAAGGGACGCAGGCTGATAATAGTACACGTTTGCAGTTCAGACGGTTTTGTTGAAGGTGGTTTATTAACTTTTGAATCAACTCGTACCGGTGACTACCATGAAGACATGAACGCTGATGTCTTTCAAGAATGGTTCGAACAAATGATAGATCTTCTTCCTAAGAACTGTGTAATAGTAATGGATAATGCAAGTTATCACTCCAGACTTATAGAAGGACTGCCCACAATCAATTGTTTAAAAAAAGACTTGCAGAATTGGCTGAGTTCAAAAAATATTACGTACCATCCCGGATCTGTAAGAAAGGAACTTTATTCGTTGTGTGCCCTTCATAAAGAAAAATTTAAAAAATACGAAATTTAAGAAATTGCCAAAAATCGTGGAATGACAGTACTTAGATCCCCACCATATCATTGTGAATTAAACCCGATTGAACTGGTATGGGCACAGATAAAGAGTGAAGTTTCAAGAAAAAATACCACTTTTAAAATTCATGATGTTAAACAGTTGTTTTTGGAGGCCGTAAATAATGTAAAACCTAAAAACTGAGAAAAGGCAGTAAATCACATTATTAAAGAAGAGGAAAAAATGTGGAAGCTGGACAATATTACTGATAAAATGATCGAGCCAGTTATTATAAATCTTGGTTCTGAAAGTTCATCTTCTGAATCTGATTTGGATTTGTAACAAGTAGCTGTAAGTTTTATATTAATATTTTTATTCATCTATTTAACATACCTTAGACGGTTTTAAAAACTCTTTTTCTCTTTTGTAATTTTTAAAAATTAAAAAAAATGTGAATTTTTTAAAACCCTTTTTAATGTAGGCCAGTCAGTTCTAATATAGTGTGTGATAAAAGAGGTCACTTTTGTTTACATACACATAACACTTTATAACACTGAAATAATTCATTTAATTTTTACAATTATTCAAAGTAATTTTTCAATTAATCTTGAGCACGCCCATGGAGTGGTCGGAGGTACCAGCTAAAATTATGCTAATTACTCTCTCGTTCATAAAAATAAACTATAAATACTGGTTATATTCCAAAAAATCCCAAAAAATAGGTACATGGTAGTTTATAATATTTTATTTTTCAAATAAAAAAATATAAACAAAAGTCAAATTTGGGATAACGGCACCTTTAATTGGACCATCATCGTCCTAAATTGAACCGATGTTAAAAACTATAGTTAATCATGAGGAATGTGTTAAAAAATATATATTAACTTAACATAAACTAACTTTTCAACGTTTTGTAACTGATAAACTTAACCTAAATGTAAAAAATCTGTATTGTCATGTAATACTATAAATTTGAATCTTTAGTTTTACCATTTCTTCTTTTTTTCTTCTTGTTTTTATATAGACACGGCTCTGCCTGATCGTCTTCCTATTGGGGAACCGTCCCCTACCGTCTTTACTACACTATTTGTTGTCATTCGATTTATATGGTCGTTCCATTCTACTCTTCCATTTCTTACCCAGTTCTTGATGCTCTCCACCTTGCATATACGTCGTATATCTGTACTTCTAGCTCTGGTCCATAGTGTCTTACCATCAGTTTTTCTGTTTTCATCTCTGCTGTTTCTAACATCATTTTTGTCCTCTCTGTGTCAGGTCTTGTTTCTGCCGCGTATGTCATTATTGGTTTGATGAGTGTTTTGTAAATTTTGTCTTTCGTTTCTTTCCCGATGTTTCATTTAAGCAGCCTGCGGCTCTGTTTGCTCTATTTACATGATCTTCCGAGCTTTCCGTAGCTAGACAATGTGATGTATAGATATTTAAACTTCATTACTTGTTCTATTATCTTACCTTCCAGCGTCAATTTACATCTTAGTAAATTTGCTGTTGTAACCATGCATTTTGTCTTTTTTGGGGGAAATTAGCATGATAAATTTTACGACGGATATATTAAATTGGCGCAGCATAGGTTGTAAATCATCTTCACTTTGAGAGAGCAGTACTGCGTCGTCTGCATAGCAGATTATTTTAAGTTGTTTTTCTTTCATTTGGTATTCTTTTTTAGTTCTTACTTTTTTTATTATTTCATTCATTATCAGGTACTTATTTTACAGAAGAATTTTTAAAAGATAATGAATTGTTGACGGCATCTTAAAATATTAATTTTTTTTATTTATTTCAAAACAAGTATAGGGTGACGCCTATGGTTTTTTGACCTGTTGAGGATTTGCATACATAATGTGCTATCAATATGATGGAAAAGGACTATAGACATTTACTTGAGCTTAATGAAAATAAGAAAAGAAGAAGATGTGCCAGGTAATGGTGTTAATCTAATGTACGTACAAAATGTTTGCACTGTGAGGTCGAGTTATGTATAGAATATAATGAAATATTCCTTACCAAATAATTTTGTATTACGTATTAGGTTAGCGTTACCATATTACGGTAACAGTTCAATTTTTGTTAATAAAGTGTGTTCCTATCATATTTTTTTTATTTTCCGAAAATATGTAGTCTTAATATATTGTTGAACAATCTCCTTTCGCTAAAATACAAAAAAACAAATTTCGACGTTAAAGGTTTAAGTTTAAAGTTTTCTGAAAAATGTATTCCCAGTAGATGTTACAAAGTAACCAAAAGTGTTTTATTTAATATTACTTTATTTGATTTAAATTTGGGCTTAAAACAAATCAGATAATTGTAAACAATTACTCATATTATATTATGTTTTGAAACAGCAAAATACATTAATTTTGTCGTTCTACGTACATAAACAACTTTAAGTATTATTAGCGTGCAGTAAAAAAGAAATAAACATATCAAAAGATCTCCACAAGGATACCCAATAAAAGTAAAGAAATCAAACATCCTCATCAGAATCCACAAACTCTGCTGATGATATTTTATTTATTTATACTTCGAAATATGAATATGTCTCTTCGTCGTTGCATTTTTAAGTCTTCGTGACAATTTCATAAGCACTTAAATAATGCAAAAGCGCATAATGCACGTCCTGACAAGGCACGAGCGTCGGCACCAGTGTTGTTACTGGCAGTCCCGTATACCGACCGGCCCAAAACCGACACGGCATGCAAATGGCCTAATCCGAGACATACACGTAGGAACAGGAACTAGGAAGTGCAAAGGTACATTCCAAATAAATAAAATGTCCTTCGAATTCCCATCATGACTTTAGCATGTTTCGCAAATTTTATATAGAGGATCAGGGCCGGTTTT